GCGCGGGGAGCGAGTGCCACCAGGCGGTGGCTGCCCGCCATGGCAGCCGGGGGCCCCCGCCGCGGGAGGTTTGCTTCTGCCTTAGCTCCGTTTATGAAACGGCACGGTACCGACAGCGTTAAGTCATGCCAAATTCGCTTGTGATTTTTTTGCTGTTGCACTGGCGTGCATTTTATACATCTGTGGTGTGGGACGTATCGTGCGCAGTAAGTGCAGCGGTCAAATCTGGCGCTTCAGATTCCTTTCAGGTTTTTGGCATTTTTAGGTTCTTCAGGTTTGCTCTTTAAATAGGGAGAGGAAAGCAGGGACAGTTGCTCAGATAAGACATTTTAAAATTATGGACTTTGGACTCACATTTCAGTCTGTTTTCTCTGTACTGCCCCAGTTGCATAAAATTAGTTTGTAGTGGCTAGACATTGTCCCAAGAAAGATCTGCAATGTAGGAGGTTTTCTGTGGGTCAGAGCAGCAGATGGCTACATGATGCCTCCTTTTGAACCTTTCCATCTGAGAATGTACTGGTTTGTAGACGGCATTGCAGGTCAGGCCTTGAGCTCTAGTGAGGCTGCCAGAAGCGCTCCTTGGACCATTTGCAGTCCAGCTGTTATTGACTTTCTGAAAAACCTTGTTTGGCTTATCTTTTAGTCGTGTTTGCCTGGGGAACTCTGCCTTGCTTTGTTCTGCTTGTTTTGGTAATTCCATTCAGAGCACTGGCTTTCAAGTATAGGTTCCTTTTTAATGAGGAATGAAAGAATTGCAGAGATTTATGATTGATTGTGGCATTGATGAAGGGGTTAACTAGAATGAATTAAGAGAGTCTTGTGGGAAAGCAGGTGGGACAGCCCCTCAGTGGGGATAAGTGGAAGGAAATGCTGTTTTTCCCTTTTCTTTCAGGTCAGGCAGGAACAAAGTCAGGAAGCTGAGGGAGGTCAGCAAAGATCCATGGGTTTTTGTTGCTCATAACAGAGTTTTGCTGGTTTTGTTTTCTTTTCCTTTTTCTGATGCAGACTAAAAGGGTGTCTTTGCTGTTTTGTTTTCTGTCATGCTTTTTCTATGGTCTAGATTTAGGCTAAATCAGTCACTTTGATCTGATCAGACTCTTATTCAGTTCCTGGTGAGACTTCATGCCTTGTGCTACAGTAAAATTGTGATAGCTTCTTAAATGAGAAAGATAGCACCTTGGTGATTTCTTTCATTCCAGGAAGCATGTGAAGGTAAAACCACAAGAGTTTTATTTCTTCCTCCCTCAAACTTGAAGCATTTATTAAAAAAAAAAAAGTAGGAAGGGAGAATAGGTCAGGAAAGATGGCGATTATTCTTTTTTTCTGTTCTAGCCCCACCTGAAATATAATGGAAATAAGTATAACTATTATTTCTAGCCAAATAGGATAGTATATCTGCATGTTTACTACCACCATGAGCATTTCCCCTGCTTGTGACATATGCATAGGAGTGAAAATGTTTAAAATAAATGTATATAGGTGGATCTGTACTCCAAACTCTAAGCTCCAAAAAACCAGTGTGGCTTGTCGTGACTTGCTCACTACAGGTAGTCCTGGCTGGATGACAATACCTGTGCTTGAGCAGGTCCGATTGCCGGGTTGGCTGGTCCCTTCTGGTGCTATTCTAAGCTGGTGTTGCTGAAAGGAGAAAAGGGAAGAACCCACTAGTTGAAGAGCAAGAACTCAGAAAAGATTTTTTTTTTTTCCTTTTATAACTAATCCTTCTGTTTTTGCTGGATTTGCTTTATATTCTTCCTGACAGTGTGTCAGTAGTACTGGAATGTAACCAGATAATACCTGATACAATTGTTCTTTCTTTCTCTGAATAACGGAAATTTGTTTTGATAACAGGGCCTTAGCTCACCTGACCTATCTGGGAGGTGCGGCAGTGTGCCGGGTGTTAACAGTCAGACAGCTTTTCATTGCTGCTTTGATACCTATTGAGGATTCTGATCACAAGTCATTGCTTCATAAAAATTTCTAACAGGGTGGGAGTGAAAAAGCTTTATTAAATGGCATGAACTTCTGCGTCTGAATGTAATAAAATAATAATTTATGATATATTTTTAGGGATAAGAGATTAAAATGCATATTAATTAAATGAATAATGAAAACCTTTATGAGAATCTCTGCTACAAGTTGCAAGTAGCTGTTTAATCAAATTCTTTCTATGGAAAAATGCATTTCATTATAACATAATTAGCACATCTATTGTGTTTTTAATACAACTTGTGCTAAAGTGTGTTTGATCTGGAGTTTGCTCATGGCAATTAGCAGTGAAGGAATTGAACTTTTTTGCTTTATTCCAGGCTTTATAAATTATAAGTGCCATATCTGGGGAGAATTGATGTGAGTTTTTTAAAGCGCTAGGAATAATCTTGGGAATATATTGGGGTAGTCATTATTAGTAGTGAAAAGAAATGGTAAGAAACTGTGCTATCTAAACCTGCAAATTTAGGGGTCATTTTTTTTTTCTGTCACAGGTGTGTACTGTTGTGTCATGCCCTATCTAAACCCCAGACTGTGAGAAAGCTGGAATATTGTGTGCTACAGGGTAATCCTGCTTGGATATGTCTGTAGCAGCAGATCGGAGAAGAAGAAGACAGCAGGTGGTGATGCTGGGGGTGTCATCCTTTTTTCCCATTGAGGTAACACTGATAGACCGCTCAGGTAGCGGGCGTATGTGTAGTTCCCCCGCAGGCGGGTGGTATGTACTGTCCCAGGGTGTTAGTACTTTCTGTTCTGCAGTGTGTCCTTTACCATTTGAGGGAGTACTTTTCCAGTAGGAAAAAAGGGCAGGATCTCAGTAAACATGGTGGTTCAAAATCACCCTGATGCCTGGCTGCTAAAATACCAAACATCTGCTCGGAAATTGAACGCATCCTGTAGCACTGGCAGGCACGAGTCCTCCAAAGTCAGAGGGTTCAACCTTGCCAGCTGCTGAAACCAGTCGGCACTGTTGAGGCTTTTCTCTTCCTTGCCCCAGGAGCTTTACTGACAGCTTTCCAAAGAGTGGGAGAAAACTTCTTTTACAGAAAGTCCTTTGGTGAATTTGTGTCTAGTCTGAGTTCGCTTAGAGCGTAGGGACCAGTGTTTTTGTGGTTGAGTTCACTGTGGTACAAAGCCTGGTATTGTCTTCTGTGTGAAACTCATTAATGCACAGAAAATGCAAACTTGAGATTGGCTTTTATGTAGTAGAAAAAAAATACAGTACAGGAATATAAAAAGAAACCATCCAGTGCAAACATCTTTATACAGTGGAAATTGATACAGTGTTCCTTAAAATAGCTTTATAAAACAGGCTTAAAAATAGCGATTACAGGTAATACTATCTGGATGATGCTTACCAAAGTACTTTACTTACTGCACTAAATAATTTCATAACTAACTTTACCTGTTGATAGCCAATACCTTAGTTATTGATGAAAACCTTAAACTGTAAGTATTATTAGTTAGTATTCTTTATAATATACTAACATGTGGAACCTCAATAGCATACACTGTTGACTGGATTAAGCAAAACATAAGAGAATGAACACATTAAAAACAAAACCAAGGCTGTCATCCCAAAATGTGCTTCTTTTATAAAGGATGTGATCCAGAGCTGTTTTGACTGATGGACAGAATTCTACTTAGTTTTCCTTTAGTTCATATTTGAAAATTTGAGTGATTGCATTATTGATGATAGTAGTCATTAGTGTCCGGCTAAGTATTATATTGGACAACTTTTTACAGTAGCGAGAACTCATGTGAGACCATATTGTAGTACGTTGCTATTTCCTGCCAAGAAGGCAATTTGGGGGAAGGGAGTGTAAATTAGAGATGACATGGAATAAGTGAAAAGCAAATTTGTGAGGTTCCACTATACTGGTTTAGGAAAAGAAAAAGATTTAGTGTTATTTGGTTAGCTACCAAATTTAAATAATCAAATCAACTAAACTAATACATACAGCTCCAGCACAGATTCTGCAGAATTGAGTATCTGTGTGGTAGGGCTCTGTTCCTGTTGAAGGCAACGGCAATCTGCATTGCCAGAAGCCAGAGACAGGCCATTGTCCTAAGAGACCCGCTTTTTACAAAACGTATTTGGCTGAGTAACTGCCTTCATGGGAAGTTTCATTCTGTTCCTTCTGTGGCTCTTCATCAGGCGAGAAAATAAAACACACGCTTACCAGGGACATAGTAGTTGCAGCTCCAAAACCTTACTTACATTTGCAGTTCTTTTATGCAGACAAGTGTGTGGGTGTGTAGCATTCTGGTTTGGAAGTCTACAATATTTTCCTAGGTGGAAAATACCCGTTTTACAGTACCTGCTTAGAAAAAAATCAAAAGAGTTTCACAGTAATGAGGCCCTTCATTTGTTTGTCCCTGAAAAAATACAATTGCTTTAATAATGTTGAATAAAAAACCTATTCAGCCTCTTTAGAAATCTAGAGAGACCTATGTTGCCATCTAGAGAGATTTACAGTATTGGAGTCTTAACATTCCCCCGATCTCCACATTTCCTGCCCTGCAGGATGTGTTCCATTGTGTAACACTGAGATCCTAATACAGAAAGAAAAAACAAGTTTGCTGCTAGCTAGAGCAAATTCTAGCACGCCGGAAAGGTGCCTGAAATCATCATCACGCTGTTAAAAATTACTGATGAAACCAGACTGTGCATGTAAAAATCCTGTCTAATATTATCTTTAGTAACTCATACATGTAGTAGAAGACTATAGAGCAAGAATAATTGATAGCTTGGAAAGAAGGAAAAATAATGCCTCTTTTTGAAAGTGATGGAATAATTTCTAATATTAAGTGATAGACCATATGTTCCTCCTCTCCTCTGCTGGGTAAGCATAAGCGTGGAATATCAATAAAGATATTCCAAGAGGGCCAGGCAAACCAGCTGGCTGGAGATACAGGAGGTTATTCAAACATTCCTTCCCAATGCCACTGAACCTCTCTGTTCCAGCGGATGGTGACCTTGAATGCATGTTGATGAAAACAGTACAGGAGGAGAGGAATGAAGGAGAAACTGGGGACAAAACCACTTTTTAAGGAGAAGTGTCTATCTGGATAGGGAGAGGAGTTGTATCCTAGAAGACTCGAGCGGGTCTTCGAGCAGCAATTTTGGGGAAAGAACTGAATGTTAGCAAGGATAGCAGTGCTGGGGGAAGTCAATATGCAGGATCTGTGTGTTTCTTTTTAACCCTACTGCTGTCAGGTTTTTTTTTCATGTCTGTTTGAAATCCTAGTACGGCTTGGGTGAAGAGCTGTGAGTTCTTCTTTGGCCATTGGCAGGCTCTTGATGTCTATCTGTAGTGGGAGGGAGAAAATTCATGGCTAATTTGAACTCAATACACAAAATCTTCATTTGGTTCTGATCCATACAGCTCAGCTAACATTTTAAACCTGGGTCCCCAGTCATTTAGAAAGTCATAATCGATATCTGAGTCTGAGGAGCCTGATTCCAAAGAACTGAGAGATTCTGCAATGGACTCAGCACCTTCGTAGCCATAAATGTGAAGTGTGTCATATGGCAGCAAATCCCTGTCATTGTCAGCTTCATCCTTCTTAACTTCAATCATCATTTCCATTTCTCCAGCACCAGAAGTTATATTTCCAGGAGGCTTTTGGACTTGTGCATATGAAGAGGGAACTGCTTCTGGCTTTATACCGTTCTTGCGGACAGAGTTGAGTACAGATACATCATAGCTGGTGGTATCCATTTCACCACCACCTTCTTCATCATAAGTGACAAGCTGCTCATGAATCTCTGCCACATTCCTCCCAAGACCGCTCAAATCCTTCTTGTGTCTCTTTCTTAGAAGAATTAGCAATGCGATTACTGCAAAGAAAACTTAGATGAGCATGTGTAAATAGAGAAGGAAGTAAAACAAATTGCATTTAAGATACGTAACACAGTCTGAAGTGTTGGGTTTTTTTTCCAGAGTGAATTTTTTTTTAACACATATTTATTAAAAGAAAGAAGTTTAAAATACTGTTTAACTGTAGGATTTGTATGTTCTCAAAGCAGTTCAGTCTGTACAGGAATTGTACAACTGACTCTTGAGCTGGAATCACAAGTACAAATGCATAGTGTCACAAGTTCATTGAATCAACTACTGCCTTGAACTGGTAAATCTTTTAATGCCAGGCATCAAATGCTACTTATGTGGTAATTCCAAAGGAGGCCTCTTCTCAAGGAAGAAAAATGTTGCCCCTTCTCTGATAGATTCCAAATACAGCATATAGGTACTGGTCTGCTGATTTGTTACAGATTTATTAATGTATATATGTTCACTGTACTGTTTAAAGAGTTTCCAGACTAGTTCAGCCTTTGGAAACAGGAATCCTATTGTTATTGCCCCAGCAAAAATTTCCTTTTTTATAGCTGCCTGCGAGCCTAGTAACAATAAATCAAGTGTATTATGCATACGTGCAATAACCTTTCCAGTGACTCAGCCTTTCCAATAGAATGAACAGCTTTGTAGGTGAAACTATGCTAACAGGCCAAATAGAAAGAGCAAGTGCGATGAATCAAATAGTTACAGTATTTCCGCCTTTTTGACCATTTTATAGCCACAAAGCTTTTGTAGATCTCGGTTAAGAAAAAACAAAACAAAACAATCCCCACATTTTAAGTCAGAGAACATTACAAAAGTCAAATACTTACCAATGATTGTGAAGATACAGATAAAAATTGCCACCAGTGCTTGTATACTAACTCCAACTTGTTTAGCTCTTTCCTCACAAAAAGTGAAGTTGCCTTTTTCATTACACTTGCAGACACTGATGACAAGTGTATTTGTGCTGCTGAGCTCAGGATCACCGTTGTCTGAGATGATGATAGGCAGGTAGTGGATTTTGGCAAGTTCACGATTAAACTGTCCGTATTTGACAGTGATATTAGCTGTGTTATCTGGAAGAAGTAATGACATCTAATTAAGTGATAATCTCTACCAGATTTTCCTTATAGATTATCAGTCAGTTGGCACATCTTCCCCTTAGACAGAGCCAGCCTTTAGGGAACCCAGTGAAACTCGGGTGGCAACAAACAGTATTTTTTTTCAGTAAGTTAAGCCTTTAAGAATAAATTGTTACTTAGCTCAGCTAGACCAATCATAGGTCATTGCTACAGCTTTTCTCCCCTCTGTCCTAGTGTCTCACTTTGGCTAGCTGAGAAATTGCATTGCAGGGATACGCTACCGTAGTTCTCAACCAAGGAGAAGTTGCTATCTTCTGTGGCCAGGGAGTATTTGAAGAAACCTCTAGGTGATATTTCATCCTTGTCAGTAGCTGAAATCCTGATGATTACCTACAAAGATGGAAGAGGTCATAATTTTCAGTATACATGGCCTCCAGTGATAAAACCGCTTACAGCATTTAAGTTAGGGCTGGGCTGTGTATCCTGTATAACCCTTCAGTAAAGGGCAGGACAGAGATATCTTGTGATGCTCCTCTTCGAGTTCTTTCAAGGCAAGTAATTTCCTTGTAGGTCTTCAAAAAGAGCAGTCTTGCCCCTTAGTTCACAGGTGGGAAACAAAAGAGGAAATCTTGTGTAATTAAAGCATAAAAAAAGTCTTATGCTGAAAGACGTGGCTCATTTAAATACCGAAGATGGCTCTCTTCTAAGGTGTTCAGCTTACTTAGAAGTATGACTCTCATTCATTGAATGTCATTGAGACTGCCACTCCTGAATGACATGCTTGTTTTTGAAAACCTCAACCTGGGGTAGATCAGATGTATAAAATACAAAAAATGTGTATGATTATGTCCCAAACGTATTTTAAAAATTAAATTAAAGGTGAAATAATACCTTGTGTGTTCTAACAGATTCCATCAGAGAGTCCAGTCTGTGACAAAGTCTCTTAATTAAACAAATGTTACATGTATTGGCTAAATACTTGTGTCTGAGGCCAAACATCTAAACCCACAAATACTAACACTGTTTGTGCAGGCAGATACTTGCACTCTGATGAATACTACAATAATGTTATATGCAGCGATATTTCTCGTAGTATTTTGAAATGGTTTCATTCTCGGTATCAGGTATGAACATTTGTGTGATAAAACTGAATTGCTAATTTTTGCTCTGCAAGGCTTGAGTGTACTTCATGGTTCAATTGCTAATGCACTTACATACTTGAAAGCCTGGAGGGAGAGGAACTGTGCAGCCCATGTGTGTAAGCAGATAAAAGTCAATATTGCAACAGTGTAAAGTCCTGAAGAGAGATTTCTGACCACTGATATTTTGGAAATCAGTGAAATGATCAGGTGCTTGGGTATGAAAACTGAGACTAACTTTTATTAAAAGACATCTTTCGCTTGAGCTCGCAAGTAGATAATTCATGTTTAAGGGAAAAACTCTCCCTCCTGTCTCACCTTTCCTGGTGCAGCATTTTCACACACTCTGGGTTCCTCGGGATAAACCAGTTCTGGAGCATTATCATTTTCATCAGTAACTATTACGTGAACTTGGGCATGTGATTCTCTGTCAGAAAGACGGCCTGAAATGACAACAACAAGAGTACAGGTCTCTCAGATGTCTGGCATCTCAGTGCTGTCTAGCCCTCCCTTTCCACTGTTTGTGTCCACCTCTGGGCCTCCTGCATGACGAATATGGAGAGTTTCTAGCTCCATCATTAATTTAAGCTTTTCCTTTGACAGATTCAGATATTTTCCTGAAAACTCTCCTATTTGGCTAAATCATCAAGGATCTATGAGGAAGAAAATGACAATTGCTTATGGCTTCCTGATTCTTCACACTGTGTGGCTATGGGATCCAGCATCGTTCTCTGACACTAAGGCAACAGGCACAGAACAGGCCACGTCTATATTATTAAATATCTTTCACCCTCCAGAAAAGACCGGCCTCCCCCAAACTGACTTGACACTGGCCCCTGGGCCTGCCCTGCTTCCTGAACCTGAGCAAAGCTGCGCGGAGGTGCCTGTGCAGCGATGCTGCCTGGGCGGCAGCATGGGAGGGGGATTTTGTAACTGTGTAAGTGGGTGAAGCTGGCTGGGATGTTTCTGCTCTAACCACAGGCTTAACCCTATTTCCCAAGCTGCTTCCTCTCCTCATGCCCTTTTTATTCCTTGTAACAAACTGGATGCATTTTCATAATAGCTAGGGGCCAAATCTTAAAAGTGTATTTGACCTATTTGTAGGTACTCATTTGATTTGGAAGATTATTGTGCAAACCCTGCAAGCATCCCTTTCATTTGTAGCTTAGTGGAAACAGGCCGTCAGGTTGCGGCTTTCCTTTTTGATAAGTTACAGTCCTGCTATAAAGTTGTACACTGATTTCTTTCAAATAGGGAAGTGGGTAGCACTTACCGTCTTCAAGGATTTCCTGAGCTGCTACAGTGATGTTGTATGAGGAACTGAATTCTCTGTCCAGAGGCTTGGGAAGTTGAATAATTCCAGTATCGGATACCCTAATATAGTCTCCATTAGGGCTAGCTCTTCGTCGAATAAATCTGTTTTTTGTTTAAAAAGAGATACGTCAGTGCAAGGGTGATAATACTGTGTTTCACTTCAGTTCTTCATAGTGGAAGGTCAGAGAGTTCTTGTGTGACAAATTACGTTAATATTTTGACCAGGCGGTCTCGGAATATTTGCCTAAAATTATGCAAGCTGTGAGAGTGAAATGTATGCGTCGGAAAAGTTTCCAGATTATAGTCTGGAAACTATTCAGAAGTCCAGAAGTTTCAGAAGTCTGTTTTCTTTTCAAAGCACATGCTTGAGAGAGTTATTACAATAAAAAATGTAACAATAAATTATAACCATGTAAAGATACCCAGGATTATGCATTTTCCTGTAAATGTGCAAATGTTTTATCAGTAAGTTTATGTGGTAATTACATGGGTAAATGTAATTTGTGTTCGTATTTGTTGGTTACCATATATTTAGTGGTGGACTTGGCAGTGATAGGTTAACGGTTGGACTCGATGATCTTAAGGGTCTTTTCTAACCTTAACGATTCTATGATTCTGTGATTCTATGATTCTATATCCCTGGCTGCAGTGCCGGAAAAATCAAACAGGATTATTTTTTTTTTTTTTTGGCATGCAGATTCTGAAAAATAGGGCCAAAGTCTCAGTTCTTTGTCAAATTCTTGGAATCATTAACGAATTCTTCACTTTAAAATAGAATTACTAAAGCTGGTGTTGTGTTACCTGATTTTCCGTTTAGCTGCGTCAGGGTCGTGTGCCCAAACTGAACCAAGTGTTCTTATTTCTGGATCATTTTCCCTTACTTTAAATTCATATGGTAGTTTGGTGAAGACAGGAGGCTCATCAACATCAGTGACTTCAATGGTGACTGTTGAAATGCTTCTAGAGCCACCGGATTTAAAATAGCGAAGATCAACTGTGGGATCTGTTGCTTCAATGTCAAACCTGTATTCTGCTACTTTTTCGAAGTCCAGGGGCTAGAAAAAAGACAAACACAGATATTCTTCCTTTGGAGTAAGTAAACTTTGCATTAGCTATCTATGCAAATTTAAGCTTTGTGCTCTAATTCATGTTTGGATATATTACCAAAATGCATCTTAGCTAGACTCTTGGAGAGCATTTCTGAACTGAACTTCTCTTTCATAGAGTGGTTTGAGCAGCGTCTGGTTTGGAACACATTCATCCAGTATTCAAAGTTCAGCAAGTATTTCTTGGTTTAAATAATTTTCTTCTTATAATTCTGTAGCTACCAGAACTTGTTTAGCTCCTTTTTCTCAAAGGTTGGGGACCAGATTCTCCTCTTGGCTAGGCTTTCTGTTCTGAAGTCATTCAAGGCAGACTTCATAGCTACACTGACTGATAGCTGGGGCATTTAGTGATAAATGACGTCCTCTTCCTTGTTTTTGCCATTGACTGAGATTGTAAAAGGAATCACACAATGGAAGGAAGGCCGGGAGCTAGGGCGGTAAGAAATGCCCAAGCTATCGCTCATTTCAAAGTTTGGGTCCCTTTGCACTGTCGCCTGTGATTATAAAAGCACCGTGAAACACAGGGTAGTTAATTGTGTTGACTCTTGTTTTTCTCTTTGAGTAGACATTGCAAATGGAAGTTATAGTGCTTATCTAGCAGTTGAAATTTTATCTCACATGGCTGCATATTTAAAATTATGACCTGTGCAGGGCCAAAAGACCCCATGGACAAAACAGCGCGGTGAACTTTGCCCACTGAGTGTTAAAAGATGAGCTGATTCCAGATCACCTGGGTGTATGTGTAAGGTCTCTTATTGCTCCTCCTCCTTGGGGCAGAAGTTGCAAGCAATGCATTCCTCAGGTCCTGGAAAGGCCAGGGGAAGGACTGCATTTGGTGAAGGAAAGCTGCTTACACCTAGTGTGACCACAGCTGAAGATTTTACTGCTGGTCTTGGAATAATTGGTACTCTTTTTTCCTTAAAGTTTTCTTTTCTTCTTAATAACATTTCTAGTCTTAACAGTTAGAGAGACATTTGGAAGTGAAAAACATGTTCCTGTCAATGTCAGGATTACAGGAGGTGATTTATAGTCCTCCCTCCTCTTTTTTTTTTTTTTTTTTACTGTAAGTCAATGAAATCAATGAACTCTTGGCTTGGCAGTGCTATGCATAATGGAGGAATGTCCCTTGGTACAAATCAAGTATGTCTGAGAATTAAAAAACAAAGAGCAAACCATAATAAAGGCCTTGGAGAGTCTGGGCCCTCTTAAAGAGTTATAAGGAATTAGTGGGGAAGCTCTGAAAACACCCTGAGGAAAGTAAGGGAGCAAGTGCCAAACTGTAAAGAGCACTTTTAGAAGAGCAGTCAGGTGGACTTGTTCACATTTTCTACTTTGGTTTCACTTGGGCTGCAGAAGGGAAAGATTCTTTGACTTGGTCAGTTGGTTCAACTCTTAATCCAAGTATCTGAAGTTTGAGAGGAGCCTGAAGTGCGTAACCTGAGTATCTGACATAGTCGCCATTGCACTCTGCAGTAATTCTAGATTTTCCCGGGACTGGCAGTTGAAATGGACTAGTAAATCACCAGCTCTTCTACTTACAGAGCTCACAGAACAGGGTTTTCAGGATGAACGTATTTCATGCTGACTTCCACGCATTTCCATTTTTTCCTGCTGCTAGTCCCAAACTGAATCAAACACTTGTTACACATGGAAAAACAAAATAATCATCTTTGTTACTGGGAAAAGTACCTTCTTTGGCCTAATAATTCCTTCATTTGTGAATGGATTTGCTACAATTTCAAAGGTGTCCCTGTAATCTCCTCTCACAAAACTGTATTTCGTATTTCTATGTTGTGGTTCATCAATATCTTCTACTTTGACTCTGCCAACTTCTCCTCCTACTGAAATGTTTTCAGGAACTTTAAAGTGAAATGAAGCTGTTAAAAAAAAAAAAAACACAACACAAAAAAGACATAAAGACTGTGTACATGCAAGTTAGAACTTCGTTAAAAATTGGTCTTAGTTTCTAGACGTACAGAAAAATATTTCATTGAGAATTCAGCATTATATACCTCTACAGACAGCACTTTGATGTATTTTTTATAAAAGTATAATTAATTCTCAAAATTGTCAAGATCTTGTATGAAGCATTGAAATTAATACTAATTTTTATTTTCTCTTCCAGGTGTACATCACCCAGGAAATGTGGCTAGGGCTGAAATACAGAAGACCTTCTGAATATGTAAGATTCTTTTGTCCACTTTTAAGAAAAGTTGAATTGTGATGAACTCTGACATAAATTCGTTATAGTTGTGTCAGCCTTTGGTTTCCAAGTGATACAGTGCTTGCAACGCTTGGATGCTTGCATTATACTTACGGTGTTTGAATACTGGGAAGTTGTCATTGATGTCGGTTAAAGTGATAATGACTGTAGCTGTGCTTGAATCCCCAGAAGACCCTGGAGCATCTTTTGCTTTAACAATAATTTCATATGTTGATTGACTCTCTCTGTCTAAATCAGCCCTTGTTGTAGAAATCACACCTTTGAAAAAATAACACTGAATATGATTAGATTTTGCAGCATGTCCAACAACTCTTACTTTTGACAGCAAATTTTTGTCTTATGCCACACATTCAGCTTTAGGTAGCATTTTTACAGCAGTATTTTTCTAAGGCTAGAAATGTTAGGAATCTTTCTACGTGAAGGAATATTTGGGAGATTTTGTACAATACATTCCTTTAAACTGATCTTTGCTGCTTAGAAGCAGTCTAACAATGTCTAAACGTGGTCACTACAGCATCCAGAGAGTTTGTCTGAGCACCTCTTTATCTGAGTTATTTGCTCCAGAAGACTAGTATGGTTACAAGAGATACTGACATTATTTTTAAAACTGGGCAAAATTTAAACCAGAAAGTTTAGGAAAGCAAAGGATTGAGTTATTGGTTATTGAATGTTGCTTCAGAATTTATGTATTCCCTTTTCCCGTTTGGTCAAAGGAATGGTATCTATGCTAAACTGAAAACATGAACTTATATTAGCTCCTCGTCAGTCTCTTCACCAGTGGGGAAAAAATGACCTTTTATCTTCTCATTTAGTTCATGGCACCTGATATCCTGACTTTATTAGTTCATTTCCAGATGCAGACAGTGGCATTGTGTGTTTGAATGAAAAATCTTTCTAAATTATGGTGAAAATTGTATTTTTGAACTATTATCCCCCTTGTCCAGAATGAAAAAGGCTTAAAACTGTGTTTTCTTCAAAGTGTAAGGTAAGGACAAAATGTAAGCATGTTTGCGTATCTGACCTACCAGAGTCATCAACTGTGAAGTATTCGTCTCCTTTAATGACTTGGTAGGTAACTGTGGCATGACCTGTAACTGTTGGGTCATCAGCATCGAAAGCTGTCACTTTGGTGACTGAGGTTCCTAGAAAAGGATTTTCAAACAGCATATTTACTATAAATTCTGCTTTTTAGCTAGAGACATAAAGGGAAATGAGTGATGGAAGAACGTACCTACTGGTGACATTTCTGGGACAGATCCATTGAATACTTTTTGTTCAAACACGGGGACATTGTCATTAATATCATAAACCTTGATAATGAATTTAGATGGGGGTTCCAGTGACTGGTTGTTTCTTCTGTCAATAATGAGAGCTGTCAGCTCATACTCTGCTTTCTTTTCTCGATCTAGCCTCTCAAATGCATACACATCACCACTGGTTTCTTCCACTTTAAAAATGGTGTTGGCATATTCACCTTCAATAATATACTTCGCGTTGTTGTTCCTTACACTTGATGTGATCTAGAAGGAAAGTATAATTCAAAGAAATAAAAGGGGACTTTGGCATCCAGATGCAACACAGTTTCTACCAGAAGATAAACACAATCAGGACTTCTTCAGACTCAGTTTGAAACCAGAATAGCCATCAAGACTTTTGATGTCAGCTGGAGTATTACTGAACAAACAGCACCACAGCAGATACAGCCATGCAGGGTTATAGGATGAAACTTGCATCCAGACTGAAACTTGCTTATATATCAAGAAGCATTTTTTTTAGATAATATCTCATATTTCCTAAAGATATAAATTGCTCATGCAGTTAACACATACAAATCATTAACCTCATTATGTCTGAAATAACACATGCCACCACGTTCAGTTTGAGCTACTCTTGTTTGCAATTAACCTTCTGAACTTAGCAGAGATTTTGCTTAGATTTCACAGAATTACAGAATCAAATCTATGTTCACAGCTACTGACATTATTCAACGTTAGTCTCTATTTCTTAGCATGGAGCAGAATTCTGCCATAGCTGACAGCTTTCTTATGTTTAGTCACATTCAGTTTTTTTATAGTCAGTCTTTAGCCTCATGCTATGACAGTAGGATTAAATTTCCACCCCATAGATTTTAAAATTTAAGATTATATGCAACGAAAAAGGGATGGGGTAAAAGGAAGGAACATTAATCTGTTTTAAAATATAATATAATCCAATCCCAAATGGTTTTGCACATTATTTAATCTGCAGATAATCTGATGCTTCTTCCCTTTCTATACCTTCACCCATCTGAGGACACTGATAGAAGGTCTAAACCACAATTTTCCATGCACTATATCGGATTCTTATTTCAGCAAGCTATTTATCAGTTTGACCAAGAATTTCTAGTCTTTTGTTACTGATGTTGTCATAAATTGCAGCTGTTTGGTATTCAGGATTTGATTTATCTTATAGTTGTCATTTACTGTTGAACATTCTTTCATTTCTGTTTTCTGTTTTGAAATGTGTCATTAAAATTTTCTTCACTCGTTCCATATACTTAATCATGGTTCTGGCTGCTGGGGCTGCTGAAGAACTGTTTACAACTCCGGAGATGTAACACGAGAAATAACCTCATCCTGATCTCAAAGATAGTATAGTCTGTGCCTTTTTTCTCAATTTTTATTTACTTATTCAGTGCAAAAGGTATAGACTTCCAAGATGGCCTTTTCTAAAACTGAGGATGAACATACAAAGGAAAGCATCCAAGGTCATGAAAGATAAAATCAAAATGTATCAGCATATTCCTGCAGCTGTCACTCAGTTCTGCCACGCTGCTGCTGTGGCCTTTTTTAAAAGGTTTATCAAGTGTTCAATCCTGCAAGTGCAATGCACTGAACACAGCCATTGCAAAAGTAATCAGAAGCATTCCACTGTTGAAAGACCACAGAGCACAGTACAAAGTGAATTACTCTTATTTAGGACAGCTCCAGGAATAGAAGCGTTCTCCTCAATCTGCTACTGAATTGGTCTGAAATGAAACAGAGATACCCTGTGTTAGCTGAGAGTACCCTATGGCCTCTTTTCTCTCTCTCTCTCTCTCGTGCTTTCTGCCAGCGAGCAGCGCTGATCCGGAAAGGTCTGTTTCACTTTGCCGAGACAGCCTTGACAGATGCTGATTGTTGTACACGGGAGGAAAACGTACAACTGCATTTATCTGAAAAGTGTCAAAGTAGTTCAATTTGAAAGACTAGATTGGAAGAACTTTGTCTGGGTGATATGCAGTTAATCATAGGATTTTATGAGCGCTGCCCTGAAGAAAATGAGTTTGCAAGCAGGTCAATGCTCGTTATTATTTTTTAAAATTATTTTCTTTCACTTTGTGAAACAAATTTTTCGATGGTGTAACAGTATTCCTAAACATAGCACTTTTGTTTTGTATCCAAGCTGAGAGATGTAAACTGTCTGTTTTTTAATGCATATGTTTTTATTAGCTGATCTCCTAGGATTTTGAAAGAATTGTGAGCTACCAGAAAAATATTGACATACGTCAGCCACCAGACTTCCTTCCTAACTCTGCACCTGCATGCAATGCAATTGTTTCTGCACTGCGGATGCTCCATACTTGCCATTCTCTAAAATTTATTTGTATTCTTCAAAAGAATTAGAATCCCTTTGACATTATTCTTGATTTACTCTGTGTCCACATTCTTAAGATTTTAACACGTTAGTATGTTGGTATTAAGTCCCATTTCTATTTCCTTTTTTTCTCTTCTATTCTGCCTAAACTGCAAACCAGTAATACTTTTCAAGATACTCATTTGCTGTCTGCATTTCTAATTATACATTGCTAGCAGACTGCTATTTACCTTGCCAACATGGTGTGGTAATGGTGTATCAATCTCTTCTTTAATATGCATTTGGTTCCATATCCAGTCTCTCTTCAGTCGTTTATGACTGGCATTGTTTGAAGAAAAGTTTTGGCTTGTTTTCTGACTTTCTTTGTCAGCAAATGCTATAGCCAAGAACAATGAGAAAAGTAGAACGAGGTGGTTCATCTTCTTCTGTAGCCTACAAAGTAATACAAAAGGTGAAAACTATATAAATAACAACAGAATCAGATTAATCGGAGAGAGCACACATAGAAGTGCAAATGGGCTTTTCTTCTCTAGGAAAGTTTGATTACTTTCTGTATTTCTTTCCATCTGCCTTAACATCAAAATTTGAAATATCAGGCTTCTTTCTTCCATGAAACAGTTTTAACTAGATGACAACTGTAAAAACCACCAAAAATATTTTAATGAAATAAAAAATGTGCAAGTTTTGAAAGCTAGCATAAAAGCCAGCATCCACTTGAGCTACAACAGTTAATCTGAGGAGAAGATTCAGTAGCAAAGATGACCCGTTCTGCATTACAGAAGCGTAGTCCAGCTGCAGAGCATAGCTCATGGGGAGGGTGGCCATGGGAAGCAGCACCAAGGCTGAGCCAGTTCAAAGTTTATGTTAACTCAACTTGAAATGAAATGTTTCAGCTTGACAAACCCAAATGCAGTGTTTTGACTTGCCCTGACACAAAATACGCTGTAGTCAATATCTTCATATGGAAAATATTGATTTGGAATAAAATCTGTTTTTTTGGTGGAAAAAATGATTCATGTGAAATTTTCAATCAATTCCAAGTACAACGTAGCAAATTATCTTGCTCAGAGAGCTCATTTATTGATTCAATTCCTTGTCTTTTGAAACATTTGAAGACACATATAAAGTTCCTTTATACCCTATTCTCAGGTTTTACCATCTACAAGATGATAATTTGTGAAATTATTCTCAGGTGAAACCATATTTTTGCATCATATGTTAATATTAGCAAACTTTAGTCCTGACTTTCATATCAGATTGAGAAGTTATTTTAATGTAGCAAAGCTGATTCAATTTCTTACTAAATTTCCCCTTCCCAATATAAAGGACTGTCAGGTAACTTTAACACTCAAATAATCAGACTTTAAATTACACATAAATGACTTTCCATTAGATTTTAGGAGCTGTCAGCATGCACGTGAAAAATAAAACCGTTAATTGTGATAGAGAAGTTGACATCACACAGGTGGCTAGATGTGAGATTAAATTAATATTTTCAGCAG